CTGTGGGTCTCAGAGCACCCCCTGCAAATATTTCAGCTCCCTTGAAAATGGACCCGACTTGTCCTGGCTAGAAACCCCCTGCCTAGTTCTGGTCAGCCCCTCCCCAGAGGGCTGGATTCTGTTACACTCTGGCATAGACACACGCACACCAGCATCTCTCCACAAAAGATCTGACACCCGTGCTCAGTAGGCATCTCTTCCATCACCGACTGTCAGGCCTCTAGTTGCTCCAACTATTGGCCTGCCCTCCCCCTCTAAAAAAAAAAAACAGTAACAAAAAACAAAAAAAAAAACTGCATCAAGCTGGTCTGGCTCCTGGAACCAAATTGAGACTCCCCACACCCTCCCAGTCGGCTTCCTTTTCAGCCCATGCCACAAAGCACCTAACTGTACCCTAATTATGCCATTTTCTATCACTGCTGTACTTTTCCAATAGAAACCCCGGCCTAGCATCTCCCACCGTTCTAAACGATGTTCCATGAGAAATGGATTCTACGGCCATAAAAGTCAAGGAACACTTCATCCTATGCCCTGTCCCTGAGTGTTTGAAATTTTGCAGCAGAATTTGAATTTGAACCTGCCTTTCTTTTTTTTTTTTTTTTTTTTTTTTAAAGGAGCAATGATGACATTTCCTAGAACTTACTTTGGGAATTTAGAGGGTCGGGTCTCATCTCAGGCAGATCTTTCTCATCCTTCAAGGCTTTGGTTGGTACAGCTTGCTAGGAAGCTGTTCCAGACTGCAGCAGCCCTCTGTGGGGTCTGTCTCGCACTTCCCAAGCACTCAGAACTTGTGCCTTAATAGACAGTTTCATGGCACTGTCCCAGTCTCTGATTCTCCATGTGAGCTGGTTTTATCCCATCCAGCATGGCTGTGAAATCCTAAAGGTTCGAACCCTGGCACTCTTCACCTATGTTTCCCCCAAATGGCTAGCACGGGAAAGCGCCCAAAGTAGGTGCTCAGTGCTGATGAGAGAGGAGAATTCAGATACTCCAGGAAGCATTCTGAGTTACTATGGAGGCCATGAAATGCTGCCACCTCCCCAAGCTGATTAAAGAGTGATATTAGGAAAATAGGTAGGGAAAGGCTAATCAGAAATGCCTCTGGATCAGAAGATGCTGAGTTTTGAAGTCCAGAGGGCCAAAAAAAAAAATGGATAAACCCTAAGTCTATACTCCCAGATGGATAGGAGCATTTACTGAATATCTGCTGGGAGTCAGGCACAGTGCTAGGCACACGACCTCACTGAATCCTCCCTGCACCTGACAGGCGGGCACATGCCTTCCATTTCACAGAGCAGGGGAGGCTCAGAGGTGAAGTAACTTGCCCAGGGTTGTAGCCCAGGCCCTTCTCAGGACACAGCTCTCCCAGGGGCTCCGCCTCCCCACACTGAGCCCAGCCAGTTCCATATGTCCTCCGAAGCGCTCCGAGCCACCCCAGCATGGTACCTGCCACTCTCAGTGTCTGCTTCCCATACCTCTGCTCCTCTTCCCCATCCCTGGGTGGGGGGCGGGAATTCTGAAGGGGAGATGGCTCTGACTTTCCATGTTTGCGGTGACCGCCCTGCTAAGGACTGAACGGAGTCCCCTCCCCCAAATGCATATGTTGAAGCATTAGCCTACAATGTGACTGTTTTTGGAGATGGGACTTTTAAGGGGTTAAGGTTAAATGAGTCCCTAGGGTTGAGCCCTAATTTGATGGTATTAATGTCTTTATAAGAAGAGGAGGAGACACTGGAGCTTGCTCGTGCTCTCTGTCCCTCTCCACAGAGAAAAGGCCATGTGAGGACATAGCAAGAAGGTGCCACCTGCAAGCCAAGGAGAGAGACCTCACCAGAAACCAACTCTAACACCTTGATATGGACTTTCTAGCCTCCAGAACTGGGAGAAAAATTCCTGATGTTTAAGCCATCCAGTCTGTGGCAGCCCAAGCCGATGAATAGTACACACCACTCCCCTTTCTGGGAAAAAGGACATCTGGCTTTTAAACTTGCCTAAGGGAGGCCACAAGCTGCTCTCTTGCAGACACTGGGACTGTCCCCTATGGAGGCAGCTGGAATTGTGGACTGTGGGGCCTGTCCTGCCACCTTCTGCTCCCCAAGAACACAATCCAGGAGCAGTGCAGCTGGAAGCAGGGATCTGATTGGAGGAGAGTGTCCTGAGATTGGGCTAAGGTGACCCCTCAATCCTTTGGGTAAGATTGGTTCCCTTTGGATGGCAGG